CGACATGGGTAACGCCCGTCGTCCTCTGCATGACTACCTTATCAAGCAGGGTGTTACTTCTACCACCCAGCTTTGAGGGGGGGAAGTGTGAGAGTATGACCCCGTTACACCACTTGTCCCTTTTCTTATTTCCTTTCTCTTTCATTTCTCTTTTTATCTCATCTCATTTGGTTTCCTATTCTCCATTTTCCATTAACCTTTGGTTTATCCTGCTATTATAATTATATCACCGACCAGGCTTGGGATGTACTGGTGCGCTATCTGGCGTAATCCTGCCGTAATCCCTTAAAGCTAATAGCCTCGCGTGGCTATACGCAGGGTGATTCTATCTTCTAGAAGGGTCTATTCCGTTAGGATAGGATAAACCTGGTTACCTGATGTACCTTGGAAGTATAAAAGCGCCTTGTACTGATCGATAGTGCAACCTTTCCTCGAGTCATTCGATCATGTGACACATCAAGTCCAACAGACAGTTAAGCATGGGGGCGGATTTGTGATGGTGTGGGGTTGCATGACGTATGAGGGGGCGGGGTTCATGTGCAAGATAGATGGAAGGATGGATGGGCCGCTGTACCATAGCATCTTGCAAGATGAGCTCTCACAGACCATCGACTTTTTCAAGCTTCCCCCCTCAGAGGTCATTTTCCAGCACGACAATGATCCCAAGCACAAGTCCCGTCCGGTGCAAGACTGGCTCGGAGAGCAGGAGTATGCGGTGCTGGAATGGCCCTCGTCCTCCCCGGACCTTAACCCGATACAGCACCTGTGGGCACACTTGAAAAGGCAGCAGGCGAAGTACGAAAAACCACCTAGTGGAATGCTGGAGCTATGGGAGAGGGTGCAGAAGGAATGGGACAAGATACCGGCGGAGGTGTGTTCAAACCTCATTGACAGTATGCCGAGGAGGATCAAGTCAGTAATTCACGCTAAGGGACACTGGACTAAGTACTAGTCTTTCATGTTTGTAGTTTGCTGCTTGTCCTCGGTACAAATTGTCTGGATGTGCTCTTATGATATGCTTAGGTGTTTAAGGACCATGTACTACACTTCTCTGGTTTTTGGCGACTTGAATGAGTGCTCTAACCGATCTTCTCAACGTGTATGCACATCATAAATTAAGGCTTAATGTTAACGCCGCTGCACTCATCAAAATGCAAAAAAATACCAAACATCCAGACAATTTTTTCCGCAACTGTAGTTGACGAACCCCTGAAAACTCTGTAACTCTTTGACGTTCGTAGGCCATTCCCAGTTGCGAATAGTGTCGATCTTTTTTCCATGTTCATTTTAACGTCTTCAGTTGAGATGACGTGGCCCAGGAATTCCTACTCCCCTTTTGAGAACTCGCACTTAGAGCCCTTGGTGATGAGTTGGTGTTGATCGCAGAGGGTGAAAACTGCTTCCAGGCCTGTCAAATGTTGTTCCCGCGAGATGCTGTACACGTCATCCAGGTAGACGATGACGCACTTGTCCAGTAGCGAGCGGAAGACTTCGTTCATGGTTAGTTGAAATGTTGAGGGTGCGTTTGTCAGCCCAAATGGCATGACTGTATACTTGTAACTTCCTTAATGGGTTCAAAAAGCAGTCTCCGGAATATCAGCTTCGGCGACACGAATCTGGTGGTAACCTCCTCATATATCAATGTTGGAAAAAATCCTGGCCCCGTGAAGTTGGTCGATAAGATCGTCGGCTCACGGGATCAGGTAACGGGACTTGATGGTGATGTTGTTGAGCGCTCGATAATCGGTACACATCAGTAGTCCTCCGTCCTTTTATGGGGTGAAGAGAATCGGCACGGCGCAGGGTGACGTGGATGGGCGGATATTTTTTTTCTCCACTAGATAATCCAGTTGTGTACGTAACTCCCTCAGCTCTGGATGACTCATCCTCCATTGCGATCGGATAGTCGGTTGCATGCCAGGTTCTAGCTCAATTTTGTGATCGTGTGGTCGTTCGGGTGGTAGACCGGGCGGCAGGTCATCATGAAAAAACTCTCGTACTTGCTTGTGATCTTCACCACGTCCTCAGGTACAGCAGCACAGAGCTTCTCCAGGTCAGTCTCTTCAGCCACCTCCGTTTATGTGATCCATTGGACGGCATAAACGTCCACGCCACATGCCATTGCACGCTTGATAGTCACGTTGTTCACCAGTGTCGACTGAGGGTCGGGTGGTTTCCACTTCGGCAGTCGTCGCCATTCGCCACCCCACTTCAAACGAATGTCGCCATTCCTACAATCGATGCTTGGATTGTACGTATGAAGCCAATCGCGACACACGAGCACATTGCAGCCGTCCAACATTGTCGCCATCATCTTCATGGCGAAACTGACTTGGCTGTCGCAATCACCTGCTCCTGTATTGCGAGTGGCGTGTCGTCGACCAATCTCGCGTCAATCTCGGGCATGCACCTCTCTATTTGTAGTTGCAGTTTCTTCGCTCTTGTCACATTGAACAGACTGTGTGATGCTCCACCGTCCACAAATATTTTTAATCCAGTGTTGCCAACGTGCCCTTCCACCAGCACAGGGCAGTGAACAGGTTCACTCCCCTTTAACCGGGTATGATCGATCGCATAGATCGGCACTACGACTCGGTGGGAGTGGTGATCTTCGGGCGACGAAGCCTCATCAGTAGGGGGCCCGACTGCTACTAATGTTGTCCATTTCCCGGCTTCCTTCCGCCGTTAGCTCCCGATTTCTGCAACTCCGGACAGTCGCGCATTATGTGCCCCGGCCGGCGCATTATAATACATGCTATAAAATATGTTATCTGACAGTGTCGCCACGCCGTTGATGGATGGGTAATTGTTCTGTCCTCGAAAGTGACTTCCCTCCCGAAAATTTGTCCTCGACCATACACTGTTCTCGTCCCATGCCTCTGCGACATGCTGCACCTCCACGAACGTCGCCGGGCGGCGCATGCGAATTTCACGCTGGACCTCCGGTTTCAGCCCTATGATATATCGACTTGTCTTCTCTGTCTCGAGTAGATTGTTGATTTCGTCGCAGATGACGAGGAAAGATGACGTGTACTCCAACACAGAACCCAGTTGACGCCATTCGTACAGCTTCACACGAGCGTTTTCACATGCGGATACATGCTCGAAGCGCCGGCGAAGCAATTCACCCCATTGTTGCCAGGTAAGGATCTCGGCCACACCAAACAAGGGACCTGTAGGATTTGAAGCCAATCGTTGCTCCCCGTCCATCGCCTGTTGCCGGTCTACCAGAGTCCCTCGTGACGTCACGCACTACCGCCACCAACTTAATGCAGGTCCGCGTAATAAAGATACCGTCAACTTGACGCGTGTCTCATCGTCGTTGACGTCGGCGGCATTGAATAACAGTTCCATGGCGAACAGCCACCCACTCAGCGTGGTGTGTTTCTCCAGGGGGTTGAACGACGATGGCATGGCAGGTTTTATCTTCACAACAGCCCGTTGTTCGCTAGAACTGTCGTCACGTGTCGCTAACGTCGCATGCGGTTGATGCGTGCTCACACGATCTTTGTCCACGGTAACAGGGGACTCCTGACGCGTCGCACCATGCATTTGGCGAAGTCTCACATTCTCCTCTTTCAACGCAGCGAGCTTGAGGGCCATGGCCTCCATCTTCCCCATCATTTCGTCAACCTTCGTTGTCAGTACGGATGCGCTTGTTGCCTTCTCTGAGAACTCAACTATTTGCTCGGGGGTCATATTTCTAGTACTACGGCGAACGCATGTAGTCGTCGACGCGCACTAGAAAGTAGCGCTCTCGACGCAACCCGGGGATGGGGGCTGGAGGGCTATTGACCATGAATTACCCTAACTAGCTAATGCCACTAAAGACACTACGGGCACCTGCAGCGTTAGAGACGTGGAGCGCACACGACGAAGTCGGCGGAACTTAAGAAGTTCCTGCACGAACTTTGGATGGCTCATGTCTCCTAACGTGCGAGGTCCCTCTAAAAACTACCTTACGACGGAAGCCTAAATGGGAAGGAACGTAACTCTGATACCAGCTGTTATGATAATCTTCGGATAGGAGTTGAGTAATGCAATGGTGAGGTCGTGATTAAAGTGTGTCAAGTACAAATGAAGCATAGGGCTAATTGCAAGCACAGCTAGCCTAGCAAGAGCGCATCGAGGAAGGCCATGAAACACACGGGAGGTGGTTCGGGGCGCCTAGGGACTCGGAATTGTCGGAAGCGACGCCGCGTGTAGGCTTGGGATCTCGAACGTAGTTCGAACCTGAGTTGTGGGGCCGAGCCTGGACTTCCATAAGTCAGGGCTATACTCGATGTTTGCGAGGCTCGCTAAGGAAAAAGGATTTTCCTTGCATTTTCCGCCAATCTTTATCCTCGCAATAAAGGTTGGGCTACAAGCGTGTTGGGCTACGCCCCGAACGCGGATCCCCAACACCCTTCCAACGTCAACGGCTTTTTTGTGTGGCTGCTTGCCACATCGACACGACAAACTATTGTCGCACACTGCTCATGGCGAACTTTATGTCTTCGCGAGTTTTCGCTGCCGAGTTGCACACCAACCTCACAATTGGCGATTCGTTCTGAGCGAGTCGCAGCAAGGTCTGTCACACCGGTCGCGAGAGGGGACAAATTCTGCGACAGGCAGGATTACGGCAAAACGGGCAGGAACGGGCAAGAAACACCTCGAGCTGAAAAGAAACCTTGGGATTTGGGAAATAATTGGGTCGCGCCTACTCTTACATGGAATCGCGGTTCGGAGGAAGCACAATTTTGGTCGTAGCGATTCGGCCGACATTTGACATGTAACGTGGGAGTCGTGGGGGCAATAATACCGCCATGAAAAATTGTCAAGCGAAGTGTATTTGCCTACGGTCCGTGGTGGGGTACAAGCCAGAGCGCCTCGCATGTCACAAAATGCCTCCTAGTAGGCCCTGGTGCGCGTTACACCCGGCGGTAACTGGGAAGGTACCACTCGAATAATCTTACCAGCACGCCTCTGTGATTCAAATGCTGTAACATGACTGAAGAACGGGCATTTGGCAAACAACCAGTTTGTCGAAAGTCACGGCGAAGCGAAGCGTATCAGAGACGTCCCATAAAGTGTCTAACTAGCCTTGCTGGCCCTGTAGGTACACACGAATATCCTGCCAGTGCTTTCACGGCTTGCCGCACATCACGCCGGGTGTGAAGCATCGTAACGGCCTGATCCCGCTTGATTTGCCGGAGTCCCCCAAGCCCCCTCACACTGTCCATATCCCTTCTTCACTCGACGATAGCGCTCTTCTCCTAGTCAACATCGCCGCGCGTTTTGTTAGTGGATTTCCAATTCACGCCGCCAGCAGCAACCACTACCCATCCTGTGGCACAGAAATGGCGCTGCTACACGGGTGCGACTGTGCGGGCTTGCGTCAGGGAAAGTCGCGAACAAGCGTTTGTGGACGCCAGCGACACGAGCAGCGCCAACAACGCGAGCGGGGCCAGCTCTCCGCAGCGTTTCCTGCTGCGCTCCTCATCTTCCTCATCTTCGAATCCTTCGCGCGTGCTGCTCTAGGTTAGCGGAGGCCCTCTTTGTAACATGGCTTGTCACCCTCTCGCTCACGCATAACAGACACAAGCACACCTTTGCCAGTGCATCCGCACCTATTAATCCAGGGTAGCCATATCAAATCTCTAATTTCGTCCCTTTCAACCCGTGTCACGCCACTCCTGAGCAGGCGCCATTCCCAAAACGCATGCGGCGTGTCAGTTCGATTCGCGCACCAAGAGATTTAATCGAGTCGAGCGATTCAGTACTGCGTGAGTGCCTTCTCGAGCCAACTCCACACCACTCGCACCATCCAACGTGCATCTTATCCGTCATCTCCGTCATCTCCGTCATCTCCATCATCTCCTCTCCTCCGCATTCATCTGTTCCTACACACCCACATAGCAAAATCATTCTCCCTTCCTCTCGCCAATCCATATCCTCCTCTTTATCTCACTCCCTCCATCCTGCTCGCCTGTGTTTCTCCTCTTCCTCCTCTCTCCGCGTGTCTCCACAGTAAGGTGCTGAAGCGCGCCGATGCATGGGCGCCGAGTCGCGGCGGGACGACGGTGACGGGCGACTGTCGCTACACGCTGGACGACAGATGCAAGATAGTCAAGGGGCCTGGTATGTGCCGTAGCCATCGCCGTAGCCGCGTGGTTCTGATAGCGTATGCCTGGAAAGGGCTTCCTAACAGTGCAGGAGGTGCCGGAATTGTAATCGAGCGATCTCCTCGGTGTGTGTGCGTGTAAGCGTCCTCTATTTCTTCTTGTCGCCAACCGGTGTCGTGACTGCAGGGAATGCATACCGTGAGCTCTTGTGCACAAGCGGTGATGCGAGCTGTAACACCTCCTTCCACAAGCAATCACTTCAACGAGAAACAACCAGCCTTTGCTATTGTCGTGCGAACTGTGCGTGCTGCCTTCTTTTGCCCTAAATCTCACTTCCTATCCTCCTGTTCTCCATCCCCCCCCCTCTACCCCTTCCCCCCCACCCCGTTTTTTTCCCCACCCAAACCATGTCCGTTACCATCGCCCCTCCGTCCGAAACTAGCCGGCTGCCGCTCCAGCCAGACCTGTCTCTGGTACGGTGGCTCCGTGCCTCTCGACTCCGAAGCCGCCGCAAAGCGCGCCAAGGGCGGCGGCGAGGTGGCAGCGCCGCTTCTCCCGCCGGAATGCATGGACCGCGCTCGAGCGAGCGGCAAGGACGAGTTATCCGCCATGGCGTACTGCTATTTCCAGCCCGCGACTTGCGCTGACGTGTTTTCCCCCGCGGACCGCGGCGCGAAGGGCGACGGCAAGGCCGACGACTCCTCCGCGTTTCTCGCCGCGTTCAACGCCGCGTGCGGCGCGGCAAAGAAGATGAACAAGCGCACCGTCGTGCGAATCCCGAACGGGAAGACCCTGCTCCTTAACTACGTCACCATGAAAGGCCCGTGCGGCCCGGGAGTGACTATTAAACTGGACGGGAAAATCGTCGCGCCGGAAAACCCCCCGTCGTCTAGGTCCTGGCCGAGCGCGTTCAGCGGAGCGGTGATGCAGGCGAGGGAGGCGCACGGGCTGTGGATAGTGGGAGACGGGGAGATGGACGGGAGAGGCGACCGCAAGTGGTGGCCCATGTATCACCAAAACCAGCTCCCGAGGGAGTTGAAGCGGCCGATTCTCCTCGATATCTACGCCAGCTACAGCGTGACGCTGGCGGGCTTCAAGAACAGGTACGCGGAAATGAATTGCGCAGCCTGTCGCCTTTTCGCCCTCTAGAAATTTCTTATTTTTCGTTTTTGGCTGTTTTTGCCTTGTTCTCTTCTCCTGCAGCTCCTTCCCCTCACCCCCCTGGCTTGCGATGCTCCCTGCCCACACCGTGAGCCTCCTAATTTTGTAGCCGCGATTTGTTGGGTGAATATACGTGCAGGAACCCAGCCGGTATGCATTTGAACATATATCGGAGCGGTTTCGTGCGCGTGTCGAATGTTTCCGTTGAGTCGCCTGCGGACAGTCCCAACACCGATGGCATCCATATAGGCTCGTCCACCGATGTTACAGTGGAGTTCAGCAACATACACACGGGTATGTATTTTAGCCGTTTTAGAAAACTCAAAACTTCCATGTACAAGGCATGCTGTGGTGGTTGTGTAGCTCAATGAAGTGCCGTGGAATGCATTCCTTCCAATACACCCCTGCTGTTGTTTGTCTCTCCCTCTCTTTGTCCCTTTCCCCCCACCCCCACCCCCACCTCCCCCAACACCCCCCCACCCCTCCGTTCTCTTTGCCAGGCGACGACAACATCTCCATAGAGGAGGGGGCACATCGAGTCACCATCGCCAATATCTGGGGAACGGCTGGCCATGGGATCAGGTATGAGATCGACTTTGGAACCGCAACAATGCAGGCATGCCACAAGGTCAGGTATGGCAGGGAATGGACAGGAATGGAATGGCAAAGAGGCACCTGGCTTGGGTTGATATGGGATCGGCTATTGCATGTGATGTGACCTGATGTGACCTGATGTGTGAATCAGCTACAACACGTGAACTGTGCATGCACAGTAAACGGAAACGTCTCAAACTTAGCACAGCATGTCAGAGTGTAGCTGTGATTAACAAATTATGGACATCAGGGAGTCACCCCAGGTCTGCACAATGGCGCAATAACGATGCATTCTCTTTTTCTATACTAAACCATCCATGCGCCTCAACCTCACCTCAAGTTGGGTTGCTCAATCTGCCATATTTGGACCTCCATCCGTTTCCTAAATCTCCACCCATCCCCCCACCACCCTTTCCTCCCTCCCTGCGGAATCTGCAGCATTGGCAGCCTTGGAGCCCGTGGCACAGTGGCATGTGTTTCAGATGTGACTGTGCGCAACGTGGTTCTAACGGACACTGACAATGGGCTCCGCATCAAGACTTATCAAGGCGGCCGAGGGCTGGTGAAAAACATCCAGTTTAAGAACGTGTTGATGAAGAATATCAAGCTTCCCATAGTGATTGATCAGGTAAGGACAACAATTTCGCCTCATAACTCTTCTATCCCATAGTGTGCTGGTAGCCGCACAAGTACATCTGTGCGCGCAAAACTTTCAGCTTTCTGCAGGGAGTTAGCCAGCTGATTTGTCCCAAGTTTTTTACAAGAAAGTGGCAGCTGATTCTTGTCCAAAACGGCTGTCACAGCTCCTACCCCCTGCTCAATGTTCCATTCCCCAACTCTGGTCCCCCTTCTCAGTACTCACCAACCCCTCCCTTTCACACCCCTCGAGGTCACTCTGCCCACTCCCTTCACACAAGTGTCCCTTTAACTGCTTCCACTCCCTCCTTCCCCACCAGAACTACTGTGATCGCTCCACCCCTGGAGTAGTGTGTGAGAAGCAGACCGACAATGTTGCCGTTCAGGGAGTGAGCTTCAGCAACATTGAAGCCACCACAACGTTTAAGCGGGGACTGCTGCTCAACTGCAGCTACTCCGTGCCATGCCGCGACATCCACCTCTCCAATGTGCGCGTGACGCCGGCTTCTAAGAGCGTGCAGATATCCCCAGTGATTCGTAACGTGTACGGGAAGTTTGACAGCAAAACCAGGCCAGTTCCCACGTCTCAGTTCCGCACTTCTGGCTTCAGCCTGATGGCGTATCCTCGAGTAAATCAGATGGCATCCCTCTGCTCGTCATCATCAAAGGGTGGCATGTGACAGAAGCGAAGGAGCAGGCAATGACAGGGAAGGCTTCCAGGTGATGTCTGGTAGGTACGGGGTACCTAAGATCACTAGGTGCTAAGCTCCTCACTTAGCAAAGTATAGGATGGCAGCTGTTAGTCTTGCAATCACCAGCTGCCATTATGAAGTTAGGTGGGTGTCATGCTGCTTCTTTGATAGTTGCTACTGTTAACATATATTTGTATATGTTATAGCCTAGATAGGTGCATGCTCATAAAGAGTACAACGCACAACCTTATATTCCCTTGTATGCCTTGTTTCTAGTTATTCCGCTTCTCTGAGATGGTATCAGCTAGGTTAGGTCCGCCCACCAACTTCCGCCCTAGCCGCGGTAGCTCGCTGGTCCCGCGCTCGTCGGCGCCTCGCTCGCTGGCCCCGCACTTGCCCGCCCCACGCTCGCTGGACCCGCGCTCGACGCCCCCCCACTCACCAGCCCCGTGCTCGCCGAGCGCTCGTCGGCCCCTAGCTCGCTGGCCCCGCGCTCGTCGGCCCCGCGCTCGCCAGCCCTGCGCTCGCCAGCCCTGCGCTTGCCGACCCTGCGCTCGCCGGCCCCTAGCTCACCAGCTCCGCGATCGCTGGCCCTGCGCTCGCTGGCCCTGCGCTCGCCAGGCCCTAGCTCGCTGGCCCTGCGCCCGCTGGCCCCGCGCTCGCCCGCCCCGCGCTCGTCGGCCCCGCGCTCGTCGGCCCCTAGCTCGCCGGCCCCGCGCTCGCTGGCCCGTGGTCGTCTGCCCCGCGCTCGTCGGCCGTGCGCTCGCTAGCCCCACGCTCGCCGACCCTGCGCTCGCCGCCCCCTAGCTCGGCGGCCCCACGATCGCTGGCCCCGCGCTCGCTGGCCCCGCGCTCGCCGGCCCCTAGCTCGCCGGCCCCACGCTCGTCGGCCCTGCGCTCGCCGGCCCTGCGCTCGCTGGCCTGGCGCTCGCTGGCCCCGCGCTCGCTGGCCCCGCGCTCGCCGGCCCCGTGCTCGCCGGCCCTTAGCTCCCTGGCCCCGCGCTCGTCGGCCTACTCTCGCCGGCCCCGCGCTCGTCGGCCCTGCGCTCGCCAGCCTCGCGCTCGCCGGCCCCTAGTTCGCCGCCCCCCCGCTAGCCAGCCCCTAGCTCGCCGGCCCCTAGCTCGCCGGCCCCTAGCTCGCTGGCCCCTTAACTTGCCAGTCCCTCGCTCCCCGGCCCCAGTTTGCACCGACCCTGGTCCCACCGTGCCGCCGTGTCGAACCGCCGTGCCACTGTGCCGCCGTGACGCTGAATCGCCGTGTCGCCGTGCTGCCGTGCTGCAGAGTCGCCATGTCGCCGTGCCGCCGAGCCGTCCTACCGCCGTGTGGCCGCGCCGCCGTGCTGCAGTACCGCCGTGACGCCGTACCGCAGTGCTGCCGTGTCGATGTCCGCCGCTGTAACTGTGGTGATGGCGGACGCTGTGCTCCACCTGGATGCAGAGGGTCGGGCGATCGACTTTGAGGCATGACTCGTCGACCTTCGTCGTCAGCTGATGAGTCAGCGCCAGGACCGCTATTCCCTAACCGTCCATGTTGACGGTAAGCTCCCCCGCCCCGACGCGCCTGCTACCCTCTCTGACACCCCCACCACTGCTGAGCGTTAGGCCCTTGCTGCTGCTGAGCTTGCGAGCGCTGTGTGGGAGTCGCGCGACGCCGTAGCGCAGCTTGCTATCAGTCACGCCCTCCCCTTGTCTGAGCGCCCCCGCTTCACGGCTGTCGCGAATGCAAAAGAGTACTTAGATGCGGTCATTGCGCACTTTTTCACTCCCTCCTCCACCTCTGCTGGCCGTATAATCCTCCCCATGCTATTCCCTGATCTTGCGTCCTTCCCTACTGTCGCTGATCTTGCCTCTTATCTAAGCGCCCTTGAGACTAGTTATCGCGATGCTAGCATTGAGGCCCAGCTCTCTGCATTCCCTCCTCTCCTCTTCACTACCATCTACCTCATTGCCACATGCCTTCCTGACCGCCTCGCCACTGCTCGCGACCAGGTGAGCTCACCCTTACTGCCTTTGTCACCACCCTGTCTGCAATAGAGACCCGCCACCGCACTATCACTTAGTCTAGCGGTACTACGGCGGTCCCTATCTTCCAGGATTGTGCTCCCTCCTAGTGCACTTACTCTGACGTTTTGCCACTGACACTGAGGCAGCCCCTGCTGCTGAGACCTTCACCACGGCGGCCTCAGTGCAGCCTCGTCAGGGTAAGGGTTGCCGCCCCAAGGGGGGGCGTGGCGGAGGGAGAGGTGGTGCGAGTGCCGGCGGTACCGACAAGTGGATCAGGGCTTATCCCCCAGAGTAGCAGCAGCAGCAGCAGCAGACGCAGCAGCAGCAGCAGCAGACGCAGCAGCAGCCGTGGGGCCGCCTCCCGCCGGGATGGCCCGGTGCCTCTGGTGGTGGTGGCCGCAATGGCGGCCCTGGTGGCGGCCCTCGCAGCTTGACGTCCGATGGTGGCTTCAACACTGTGGGTTGCTAGTACCAGCTCCTGACTGGCCCCTTTCGTAGCACTTTGTGTGGCCGTCCCAGTCACACTGCCGGCCGCTGCTTCCACCGCCTCGACGACCTCTTCCGTCTCCGCTTCGGCCTGCGCCGGACCTTCCCGATTGGCCCAGTCTGGTGCGTCGTTGGGTGCCTGTCTTTGAGATGGATATGGATCATATTTACTCTGTTTTGCATGCCATGTTTGCTAATGACTCTAGTGTGACCAAATCTTATAACCCTGTGTTGCCTAGTGCACGTGTGCCTCCTGTGCGTCGTCTAGGCTCCCCTGCCGCGTCAGGCGTAGGACCTTCTGCTTTGTTAATCCTAGGCTCCACGCTAGCCCCTCCACCGGCTGACGCTACGGCTTCGCTCTCCTTCACGCTAGAATCCGAGGCGTCTGCCTGCTTCTTCCGCAACCACACTGTGCTTATGCCGCTTTCCGCCCTTGCTGCTGTCGCGCTTGCTGACCCCTCCCCGTGTTCGGTAGTTGCCCGTAGCTCCACCACCCTTCCGTGACCGGCGGTTCCCTCGGGTGCTGGTTCTGGGGGTGCTAGTCCTTGGGGTTATGTCGTGGCTTGTCCTAGTGGTCCTGGGGGTGGCACAGTTGGTGGAGAGGGTTCTCGTTCTGGGGGTGCTGGTACTGGGGATGCTAGTCCTAAGGGCACTGTTGTGGCTTGTCCCGGCAGTCCTGGGGGTGGCACCGGAGTTGGAGAGGGTTCTCGTTCTACGGGTGCTGTACTGGAGCGTCTCGGAGGTACTGTAGCTGTGGTGCAGTCGGAGGCTCCGGTGTAGGCCTAGAGCAGCAGCATAAGTCACAGCTGGTTTCAACCTTCGCCTCCTCGGCCTTCCCTCCCGCGACCACCCGACTGCGCCTCCCCCGCCGCCGCCTCCCCGTACTCACGTGTTTCGTGCTCCTCTTCTTCTGTCGCCTCCTCAGTCTTTGCTTGGTGTCTCTCCGCTTCCTCTCTCTGACTTTCTTCGTGTGGCTAGTCCTCTTGTTCCTCGGGTCTTTGCCTCTCTTGTTACCAACCCATCTGTTCTTGTCTCGAGTCTTGGCGCTCTTGTCGCCGCTGTTACTGACTTTGCCTCTACCCACCGCCTTGACTACGCTACTGCTCTGGTTTCTAACCTTGCCCATCCTCCTTTCGTCCAGGGTGCACCTGCCATTTGTGAGATGATGAGGCTTGCCGAGTCCTTGATCACAACCATTTGCGTTTTTCTATATATTGTGTGTTATTTCTGCATTTTTTATTTCCTGAAAATCCCTACACTCTATCCTACGTATTGATATATTTTATATATATCATATGTTATATTAAGCGTTTCGGACTTTCCTCGCGTGACACGATTTCTATTTCGTGGAGTGTTCCGTCACCGGTATCTCTAGAATCCATATCGTGCTTTTAGGTAGTGTTCCTACGGATGGTTCCACTCATCTCAATAACTCTTTTAGGAGGTCCTAGTTCCCCTTCCCTAGAGTTTTCGTAGGGATAAATAGCATTGCCTTTGTGCTTGTAGACTTTCAATTCTGGATTCAATTATCGATTAGTGTCATTCAAGCTTCCGCTAAATCCTGGACCCGTGAGACTTGGTAATCAGAGCACGAGGTTTCCGATCGGCGCTTTACCGCTAGGCCTCTAGGAGCATGCCGAGGATGAAGTCAAACTCTTCGATCGCGTAAGTAAATTCGTTTTTTCTTACTAAGCTACGACTAACCTCGAGCAGTTGCACCTAGTGCCCGATGGATGGCTAGCAGCATCGCCAACCGTTCGATTTTCAGTGTCGACGGAGCCTATTTATCGTGCGGGCAGACGTCAACGACCCTCGCCAATGAGAGGACGTCCTCGAAGTACCTGCTTAAAAACCTGGAATATTTTCTGCCCTCCAAAGCGATCGACGGTAGCTGGTGGAACTTTTCCTGCGATGTTTTCCAAGAATTTCCAACTTCGCCACGAATTTTGGAGTTGCGCCAGCACCGATCTACGACAGCCGTCCGATTCAACTGCGATGCTTCAGATCGTCCAAGTCGAAATGAGCCTTAGCTGATCCAGTTCAAGTTTCAACGCGTGTGGAGACAGCACCTTGACAGCATTGGGATGTTCTTGCGCGTACGATCATTCGACAACTGGCATCGACGTCTGCAAATTGCCGCAGAAAACGAGTAAATTCCAACTTTCGACCCAGCTGAACGAGCCTCTAGAATCTATTCAGATCGCTTGAAGTTTGGACCGTCGGATCAACTTTGAACTAGCCGACCAGATCGAGCGCGAGTTACTTCCTCACGGGGAGTTGACGCAAAGAAACATATATGAGCCGACATAAAAATTGTTGAGTGGACTCATAAAAAATTGCAGCTCATAAAAGATTCGGATCTCCTCGTCACATCAGGAATTACGGTCATTTAACGACTCGTCAATCAGAATCAGCAGCAACGAAAACACACTTGGTAACATCGACCGGCGTAACTGCTGTCGCTGCACGCGGATCGCCAGATCGTTACCAAATCGATGGCATAAATGGACCAACGGAATATTCTATGGGAGAGCGACGTTTCGGAGTCATCATTCGAATCTGGCGACACAACGATTGCGTAGTACTCGATCAGTCGCAGAATCGAGAACATCTCTTCTTCAAAGTCAGAATCGTCGTTTTACGCCAGATCGACACCAACACGGCAGAATTTCGTACTTCACCAAAGAGTCAGATTTTGGTGGTACACCAACAATGCAGCCGAACATCTCCAACGACAAAACCGGCTTGCATAAAACTATCTTCCTACATCGACGATATAAAA